GCTGCTGCTGTGGCTGCTGCTGCTACTAGTGCTGCTGCTGCAACTGCTGCACTTCTGCTACTGCTGCTGCTTCGGCGAGTGCTGCCGCTATTGCTGCTGCTGCGAGTTGCGGCTGCGGCTGAACAAGTTCAAACTTAGGTTTGGCAACTCGCAGACTCAGATAGGACCCTTGCACCTCTACCTTGAACCAGGATAAGATTGTCGTGCCAACAACTTGATGAATGAGGGGAAAGAGCACCTCAAGAAATCTACCCGGTACCCAAGCATCCGCAGGTGCCTTGTCCCAGTGGCTCGGGTTCGCCCAGAATATGGCGCCCTGACGGGATGAAGTTTCGCATCGCTGCGGAGATGGACTTGCAGTGCCATTCCAACACAAGAGCTGGATACAGAAGGCAAAGGCCTGCTGTATATTGCCGGGCTTGCAGGTGATAAGGTACACCGTACGTACCCGCGTGGCATGAAGATTTAGGTGTACCGTGCTGCTGTTGCTTCTGAGAGGGGCCTGGGTAGTTTTATGCATCCCTCTGACACTCGAGAGATTACGAACGGCAAGTGCTTGATGCTGTTGATTTGTGCAGCAAAGCAGCTTGTCCTCCAAGACTCACGAAATTGACATTCTTCCTCCAGTGATGAGAGGCAAGAAAACACCGACACACAGTCGCTTTCCGCAGTGCCACATCAACCATCGCCGTCAGCCGCTGTCTGGAGCACGGTGCCAAGTCGGACGACTGCACATACTCTGGTCCTCGCGCTGCAACTGCGTCGCTCATCCGCCGAAGCACTGGGGCTTTGACCACATCAAACGTTACGTGGCGAGCTGAGCTCTCGATGCAATATTAAGAGACCTTGAACTGTGCTCTCCAAAACCCCCAATTTCGATGGAGATGATGCTCTCCTGGTACAATAATTAGAATAGGGTATTGGGATAGATTATTCGCATACCTAATACTATGCCCCAGGGAATAATAGCGCAAGACCTGCTGGGACAGAAACAGCGTCTAGATGTGAGCATGATATGTCGCAAGGGCTTTCATTTGAGGCGGTTGAGGGTTTGGTCAAGGAGTCTAGGGTTTCGAGTTTCAAGGTTACAAGTTTCTCAGCAAGTTAGGCAATTCTCTTGGACATGTAGTTGTGCCGAAACCTCTTAAACGTTTAAACCCAAATCCTACAGCCAATCCTTAAACCCTATATATCCTAAACCCTGAATCGCAAACCCTAAGCCCCACACCCTGAATCCCCAAACAAAGCCCGATGTTCCCTGAACCCTTTATACCACATTAGCTGCCTAAGACGAACATAACCTACTTTTTTGTAGGTTCATATTACAAACCCTAATCTAGAATTTAGAAAGGGGGCCCTACACTCCTACATAAGTAGGTTTCGGTGGGCTAGGGTGTAGGCTACTGGAAAGCTCCGGGCTTAGGCGAGTAAGCCCGATGCGCAAAGGACCCCTCATCCGGCAGAAGGGTTTGGGCCGAGGGCCTAGGGGTTTAGGGTTTAGGGTTTAGGGTTTCGGGTTTAGGAGTTTAGGAGTTTCAAACCCTAAACCCTAAACCCTAGGAGGGTCCGACTTTCGGGTTCTTCGAGCTTGGGTGAGCTATAGAGGGCGTTTCCTCTTCAGAACTACCCCTAAACCTTGAACCCTAAACCCCAACCCCTGAACCCCCATTAAACCCTCAAGCCCTGAACCCGAAACCCTCAATCCTACACCCCTAAACCGTAAATTCCTGAACCGTAAACCCTTAATCCTTATGAACAAAGGAACCCAAAACCCTTACAGATCCCTCAAGATCAGCCTTGAGGGTGTCTTTCCATGTGGGGGCTCTGGCGATGTCGTCCTGGCTCGAGTTCGCCAGCCTGAGCTGGAAAGTTTGAGGTTTGAGGTTTAGGGTTTAGGCTT